TCAGAGCCAGCTGATGGGGGATGGAAGTGGTTCCACACTAGGGATGGAGGAATGGCAAGGCAGGGAACCGCTCACCTCAGTTTATGGCCAATGGGATCAGCGGGGGGCATGGATCCAGATAAATGACCCCCTTAACCCTCATGCCCAGGCCCCGCCCCCAGCCCGCTCCTGCACCCTTTGTATCGTCATGGGTGGTTGGCCGGTGGTCCCCAGAAAGTTTAGTGTTGCACAGGGTGGGCCATGGGCCAAAAAGTTCGAGAACCACTGAGCTGGCTGGATCAGAGAGAGAAGCAGGCTATTCCAACCCAGGGCTTCTTGTGCGCAGAGAGGGAGGGTCTGACACCGCTCCGACAGCAGTGTAAATCGGGAGTCACTCCGCTGTGATCAGTGGTGCAACACTCGTGTCAGCCTGCGAGTGCAGGAGTTACATCGGAGACAGAGGCCGACCAAGAATACACTTTATTCCATAGTCACAACAATCAGTATAACCATTAGCCGAGCGTTCACATCACCGGTCCGGGACATTTCACACACACTGTTCGGCTGTACCAAGTGCTGTTCCTTCCCCTCATCTAAAAGCCTATTTCTCCAAGACAACAGATACAGGAAGCTCGTCACTAACACAACATTACAAAAGAAAACCCAGAGCGCTTGTAGCACCATTTGCAGGCTGGCGGTGGCTCTCCGCCGACCCCTGCAGACAACTGGAAAGCGTTGGGAGAGGTTTGGGAGAAGGGATGGGGGGGTCCACATCCCCAGAGCCCTGCTGGCCACAATCCGTGGAGTTTGTTCCTGAGACAAGTTTTTCTTTATCTACATCAATGACTCGAATGGGTCACACACACGCGCGCGCGCATGGCAGAAAATTACAGGCAGCAGGGACGGGGCGGGCGGGGGGGGGACAGTCACAGCAGAAACTAGCCAAGCGGTAGAATGAGAGAGAAGTCAAAACGGGAGGAGGGGGAGGTCACTAAAGCACTAAAACCACATGTCACAGCAGCTCACAAACTCTTTTCTCCTCGGACAAAGGGAAACAAGAAACGCCTAGCGCAAGGGGCGGGGAACCTTTTTGGTTCGGGGGCCGCTGACCCACAGAAAAATCAGTCGGGGGCTGCACACCATGGTGGGGGGAGGGGAGGCCTGAGCCTTGGGGGCCGGATGGAGGCAAGCCGGGGGCCCCCAGGCCTTAGGCTCCCCACCCCTGGCCGAGAGGCAGGGGGAGCAGAGAGGAAGCAAAGGCTCTTTGTGCTTAGAGACTGACGAGGAGCCTTCCCCTCTCCCCGCGGCCCTGCTCACACCGGCCAGGCCCGGCTCTGCGGCTCTCCTCAGGCCTGCCCGGGGCCTAGTCCTGAGGGGGGCGTAGCCTGACGCTTTGCAAACGAAGGGGAAGCAAAGCCTGCTTTTCCCCGGGGGGTCTCAGGCCAGGCCGGGGAGTGGCCAGTCCCGTGTGCCTGAGGCGGAGGGACCCGCTCTGTCAGATACGGAGACAGGGTTGGACGGAGCCCGGTTTGGCCCGCAGCCGAGGGGGCTCTGTGATTTGCACCAGACTGGAGTTTCCTCTACCTGAGACCACCCCCCCCCCAGAGTAGCGGGAGGGGCCTGTAGTTCCGAAGGGCACATGCGCAGGGACCCAGCAGCGCAGAGCTGCAGGGGTGGGGGAGGAGGAAAAGCAGCTGGCCGATGAAACCCCCCGCTCCCTCCGAGCGTGAGGGGCGATGGCGCAGCCCCCAGGCCCCTTCCGTTCTCCTCGCCCCTTCCTCAGAGGCCTGCTGAGCGGCCGGGCTGGCGGAGAGCGGCAGATGCTCTTGGAGAGGCAGGTCACGGCTCACACACGCTCCCAGCCAGGCCACCCCAGCCCATGCACCCTAGGATAGCACCTTTGGGGGCTCTGGTTCTGCCCCCTAGTTGGGGCTGATCTGCTCCAAGGCTGGCTGGAATGTCTTGGACAGGTGCAGCCTCTCAGCCCCCGCACACCTGGCTGTTCTGTGCTCCCCGAGCTCTGAGCATGGACCATTTCCCTGGGGGCTACCAGAAAGCGTGAGCTCCCTGCTCAGGCTGTGGGTCTGCTGGCTGCACCTTGCCTGCTGAGCTGTGCCCTCCTGCTGGTCCTCCTGGTCGTTTATCCCAGGGCATGCTGCTGCTCTCCAGGCATTGTCGGGATCTGCCAATCAAGTCCGGGCAGCGGGGGTCCCATGTGGCCCTCCGGGTAGGAGGGCCCATCGTGAAAGTCACTGCATGCACCAGCTGGCGGGACATTCCAAACACCCAGCCTCTTTCAGTGGGGCTCTGCGGGGATACGGGGCCCTGGAAAAGCTGGCTGGATGGAGGCCTCGGAGGGCAGCGCAGCACCACCCGGCTCGGGTCCCAGGGGATGTCAGGGTCCGAGAGAGAGCAGGGTGGTGCTGGCAGCCAGGACAGGTGGCAGCAGAGCCTGACTATCAGGCACGCTCCTGACCAGTCAACGCTCCCTTGGAAAGTCGCCTGGGAAGTGTCTGATCCCTGCGCGCAAAGAGACCGATGCCCCGGGGCCTGACACACCCAGAATCTGCATCCCCTGCTCCAGAGCTAGCAGCCCGCCCTCCTGGCTCGCAGGAACAGCAGGAGCCTCCCCAGGGAGCCCCGTGCCCGCAGCCCCCGCCAGGAGCACCGGCTGGGTGCAGGGGACGTGGCTTTCTCACGCGGCTGGCTGGCTGGCCTCGCCGTGGGAGGGCTGGCCAGCGCAGCGAGGCTGTGGAGGCTGGTGGCATCTGGAAGCAGACTGGTAGAACCAGCCCCTTAAAGGTCCAATGGAAGCCCATTTAAAACACTGGGTAAGGACCGGCCCAGCATAGGCCCCTGCGGGCAGCAGGGCACGCCCAGGGGCTGCCGCTCTTGGGCAGAGCTGAATCAGCACAGGACAAGGGGCAAATTCCAAGCCGGCGCTTGGATCCTAAAGGCTCTGGGCAGCCTAGAAAGCACCGGAGGAGACGGCCCTCCTTCAGGCAGCATGTGTGCAGGGCGAGTCAGCGGCTGGATTCCTGAGGATCAGAAGGGATGGGAAGGACTGTCTCCAGGCTGCTTAAAAGGACTGTCTCCTCTGTGTGAGGCTGAAACCCTCTGAGATCCGTGGACCTGCCAGGTGTCCTGCTGGGCACGGAAGGGGGTGGGGCTTTTCATTACAATGAGCCTGGGGGGGG